AAGTTACTGATTTTAGTCAATGCTTTGCAACAACTGTGGCTTTGTATACAATCACACAGGTGTCAGTGATATGTTATGAGATTTCATAGAAGATTCATTTGGATAAAACCATTTACTGTATGTCTCAAACACAACATATAACCATTGAACTGTGCGATAAAAGAGGCAGCAAACATTGGGAGAGCACGTTAACACCAAATTTAGATCCTCGTGATAACTAGTATTTGTAAGGAACTGTGCCTTTACAAATAATAGGAAAATATTCACCTGTTATTGAATTTCATATGTTATTGAAGTGTCTAAACTAAAGATATTTCACAATATATGCAGTCTTAATGCAAAGAAAAAACATTAACAGTCAAATACTGATTGATGTAAAATACATATTCTTAGCTTGTGAAGATAATTTGATTTATACAGGAAGGAACTGGATGGATGGGTGGGAGTTTTACTACGACCACTAAAACTGAATGTTTACAGGATAACATTTAAAGTGATTTATGTGGGGGTATATCTTCAAGATAGTCTGAATACCTTACCACTGTAGTTGTGAAGTTATTCAAATAAAACTTTGTGGTAGTTATTCTGAGCAGAACTTGATAAAGTATTATATCAGGGGGGATGGTGGAAGCCCAACTCAATCAGACGTAACAGCGGGGCTCGCTGGTGTGTTTATGGAACGGACCCAAAAGCAGACATGGAAGAAAGGAAGTTGTCATGGTCCTGGGTCGTGTGACCCAGTGTGTTATGTTTAGCCTATTTTGATGTTTATTGTTTGTTTAGGTTCTCTAAGGTAGTCCAGCCATTTGTATATATTACCCTTGCATTAAGTCTCCCTTGCCCTTCGTGTGTTTATGTCTGTGTGTCTGTAGCCGCTAAACTGGTGGACCTAAATCTTTACCACCACGTCTGTATACATACAAGCAGAAAGGGGAGTGAGTGGGTCAGCGCCCAGAGCACAGAAACTTGGCTGGCTTCAAACACACCATTTATTTTCCATAAAAAAAACACAGCCAGAGTCACAAATACAAGCTAAAATCCCCGTATACAATAAAAATAATGTTTGCAACCCGCTAAAAACCCGGCCGGCCGGAATGATTTAACACTAAAAACACAAAGCTAAAGGAATGTTTTTTCCCTATGCTAAAAACTCCCCAGGGTCCAAATTCTCACAGTCCAGCAACACGCGGGCAAATTCTCCTGAGCTGAAAGAGACAGGAGAGGAACTCCTCTTCCGGGATGGGGAATCTCGCCAGCAGAAGACCAGGGAGGAGGCTCCTATCTCCACCTGACGGTGCGCGATCGTGCAGTCCAGTCACTCTCCACACCCGCGCACGGCCTCCCTTGTAGCTCCACCCTGAAACAACAGACACGGGCCAGCAACGTTGTCAGCGCAGCCGCTGTTACCCTTCCCCGGCAAAGCTACTCCTAGCGCCCAACAGTGGGAAAGCGATACTCACAGATGCAGGCAGAGGCGTACCCCTGCCCTACTGTGGATTTCACGCGTCGCCTCCCACGGTCGCTATTCTGTCCGTCGGGACTGGATCGCCGGGTTATGCTGGCCGATCGCCGAATGTCTCGTGGCGCCCCACAGTCAGGCCGGAGGTCCTTCTTTCATATGCTGGCTTGCACACGTTTTGTTTCCAGCTCTTCACTTTTCGTGTGTCTCTCTTTCAGTCTTTGCGCTCACTATCTCCCTTAAGTCAGTTTGGCGGCTGATAGGCCACCTCGGGGAACGCCCCCACCTCACAGGTGCCTACAATTGTCCGCTTAATCCACAGTGGAATAAAAAAAACATATTGTTCAATCAACACTAAACACACACTATAAATATGGGGATAAAATCATGCAATAGGAATATCAATAAACAAACATGCAATATCACTATTACAATAAAATCATGCAAATAAAATCGACACTATGTACCAACACAGTCTAATCCAAAACAAAATATAAAAAACACAATTTTCCACTGTGTGACATGTCTTGTACTGTCAAGTTCATGCTGTCAGTTATGTCATCTCCCCTGTACTAAGTTTCCCTGGGTCATGAGTCCTGTCTGCGTGGTTATGTTTAGTTCTTGTCATGTCTAATTTCCATGTTTCCTGTTTTACTTTGTAAGTCTGTATTCATTGTCAGTGTATTCAGTTGCACCCTCCTGTCCTGTCGTTAGGTTCATGTGTGTCAGCTGTGATCCCATGTGTGGCCACTTCCCCTGATCATCCCTCATGTGTATTTAGTCTCTGTGTTTCATGTAGTCTGCGTCGCGTCGTCTGTGTTATCTCCCCTACCCCTTGTCATAGTTTCCCAGCCTTAACTAGTCCTAGTTTGTACTTTGTTTAGCCATAGTTTTCCCAGTCTATGTTCAGGTTTTCCCTCAGTTGCTTTGCTGCCTTGTTCCTTAAGTTTTCGGCCCTAAATAAAGGCTCGCCTTCTGTTAAGTCCGGTTTTGTGTCCTCACCTCTGTTTGCTCTTGGGTCCTCCACTCACTCCACATGGTCTGCCCCGGCGGTCCGTGACAGGAAGTGACAATAAACAAAAAGCGAGCCTTTATTACGGGGGATACAAAACAGAAAAATGGGGCAAAGCGGAAAACTAAAACCTAAACTGGGAAAACTAAAACTAACTATCAAAATGATGACAAAAGACAAGAACATGAAACTGAAGGGGAACATGCGAAAACGTAAATGTGAAATAATCCCAACATGAGCATTAATATGTACCTGAATAGTAGAAAGCAGAAACTCTGTGACATAATGAGACTTGACATAAGGACAAACAGACGACCCAATGCTGAACAGAGGAAGACAAGACAGACGACTTAAATACACAGTAATAAGAAGAAACACCTGGGGAGACACAGCTGACACAAATGAACCTGATGCCACAGGGAAAAGTAAAACTAAACACGCTGGACATGGAAAGACCAGACTCTTCAAAATAAGATAGGAAACATGGAGAGACGTGGACATGAAAGCACAGGCAGAACTGAAAGTAAAACAGAGGACAAGATAGACTTACACAGAAGACAGGAAAGACACGTAAACAGGAGACATGGACAAACCAAAAACTAGAATAAAACTAATAAATAAATAAAATAAGATTAGCTATGGCAAAAGAAGTAGTGAGCATGAGGTCTCTGTAATTACTAAATTGGTCATTCTTACTTGTGGTCCGAGGGCAGGAAGTGAGGAGGTCAGTCTGCTGGCAGACACACTTCCAGAGTAGGAATAAGAAGTACAGCAGAGAGTGGTTGGGCAGATGCAAGTCCAGAAGGTATGGAGTTTCAGGAGCACCGTAAGGCAATTGTAAGCACCTTAGGGCAACTGTTGTGCATTACTGAATTGAAAAAGAAGCCAGGAATTAGGACTGGTTGAGAGCTGAAGAATCCACGGGATTAAACTGGAGAGTCTTCTGATGGGTGAGAAGATTGTAGGTCTGGGATTCTAAACAGGATGTGAGAAGCAGGAGTTAGAACAAAGCAGGTTAAGGAAACCAAAGACAAAGAATGGGGCCAAATAGTACAGCCTATTGAGGAATCAGATATTACTGCACAGCCACCTTGTCTGCCCTGAATCCTGACAAATATTTAATAGAGAAAATATGCAGTGGTTGATATCAGTATTTATGGATACTCTGTTTTTTCCTGCTTATCCCTGAATAAGCAGGAAAAGGATGAGGATGGATGGATGTTTTTTTAAGTAGCCAAAAAAGTTGTAAGGTGATTTCAAATGAATTTTTAATAGCTTTCTTTTGTCACAACAGCCTGTGTCAGTTGTACTATGTAGTGGTTGTGGGTTTTGTTTTTTTGTTTTTTGTTTTTTTTGTTTGTTTGTTTTTTTTTGGGGGGGGGGGTTGCCTCCAGGCTGTTGGCTGCTTGTTTGTGCAGTCACATTGCAGTTTTTTTTCTGTTTTTTACACTTACAGCTGTGGTTAACTCTGTTCTTAGAGCCATTTCTTTATTTGTACCCATTGACCTTGGGTCTGTACAATGAAACAACTGAAGGATACCCAGAAAAAAAAATCTGAACTTGTGAAATCTGAACACCTTTAAGAACGTTCAGAAGAAGATAAATAACGCAGGAACAAACATCCTGCTTTGTAATATAGACCACTGGTATGGACAAGGATGTGCAGATGTTTCCCAGAATGACACCCTGAAGTGATGAATTAATTCAAATTGTATGTCAAATAGCACACTAACTATAATTACAAATAGTGCAACCACTTATGTGTATTTATGTGATCTATTCATGACCAAAAGGTAGCTATAAGAAAGTGAGGATGGGGTGGAGTTACGTAATTGAGGGATGCTGTAATTATGTAATTGTATGCCATCTTGTCAATGTATTGGCTTTTCCACCTCTTTAGCAATTTGTGGCTTAAAGGGAAACTGCAAAGGGTTGGCAGAGTTGATGTGATAAAAGCATCACGTTGGCAGAGTATAAAGAAAAAGGTTTAGCTCCAAACCAGCCAAAGGTGCATGCAACTAAAAGGAACACCTAGAAGCACAGTGCTTGTGTTCAAAATAAATATTAATGACATCACAAAGGGGGAACAAGGAACATAGTAGATAGGAATTGCACCAAAAAACAAAAACAAAAGAAACCCTATACCTTCACAAAAAACAATATGAGATAAACTGTTTTACATTTATTGATCAAAAAAATCACACAGTTACAATAATGTGGTACGAGGAGAACGCTGCAGTATCACTGAATAATCTGGAACAGGTGATTATTATTCTGACTTCCAAAAAACACATATTTCACAAACGTACGCAGTCAAACTGGTGGTTGTATAACAAGACTGCTCGAAGCATGCTCAAGGCCTTTTATATCTCGTGTAGGCTTTTGTATCTCATAGCATCAATGGTGGGAAAATATTTTGCCTTTTGTGAATCTGAAATACTTGATTTACCTCAAATTACACATTTGGTTTTTGAAGGTCAAGAGATGACTCATAACTTTCTGGTGTGTCTGTCATATACTAATTTACAGGAGATAATAATGGATGGCCCCATCTTTTTGACAAGTATTTTGGAATGCCGAGTCATAACGCCAGGACCAAGTCCAATGTATGCTGTGAGTACCTTCATTTTAAATGTTAGAACTTTGTCCTTAAATCGATTATTTGTTTTTCACAATGTTTTATAGCAAATAGTTATTAATATATCAGATGTGCTTTCATGACAGTATTTACTTTCTGCTTTCGCTTGAAATTAAAACAGTAGACATTCCCTCATTACCGCATTGCAGGAATATCCTAGATGCGTGTCTTCGTTTGCCACTGAAATGTTTACATTATGTTTTGTTACTGTGATAAAATAGTAAAAGAGATGGAGTTCAAGGCAAACATGTTTAATGTTGCAAACTCTACAATAGGGCTGCCACGATTAGTCGACTGGTCACGATTACGTTGACTATTAAAATTGTCAACGACGAATTTAATAGTCGATGCGTCGTTTGAAGCTTTGTAAGATCCCAAAAGACGCAGGAATAAGTAGTAGGATTTAATAGTGTAATAACAGACTGAAACAGAAGATGGCAGCACTGCATGTACAAGGATGCCAGCTGCCGTTAAACCCTGAAGAAGTAGTAGTGTCCAGTATCATAGCTGTGTCCAAATTCAGGAACCGCATCCTCCTGTGCCCGCATTTGTAGGGCGATTACGTTACAGCGACACGGCGAAGACTGTCCAAATTCGAAGACTCCGACAAATGCAACCGACAAATGCTGGGACACATTTTGTGGGATTGACCGATTTACATAGTATGGGCAATAAAATGTGTATACCAGACTTATTTGAGTGTTGGTTTGATATAGCTTTTTTATTCTATTTTGCTGATGTCTTTTCATCTTATTCCGTTTCATACATGTAAAAAAGGAATTTTATGCATCATGACAGCTGCAATTTTAGTCTATTGTTGGTTTTGTCAAAATCTTTCTGTTTAACGATCAATCATGCATGCATGACCAATCTGTTTATGTAATTATTCTTTTAACTTGCCATCCGTACTATAAGTAACAAAGGCTTAAGCATGACAGTCTTAAGAAGATGAAATCAAATTGTCAAGCTTCGATTTTAGTCATCCAGTTTGGATTTTTCTTTTCCCATTATATGCACCTCTTTCAGTTCATGCTTTTTAATCTGCCAGTTGTTTGAAAGCTATCTATTATCCACACTGTGCTCACTGACAAGCAGTGTATTTTCTATTCTACATAGAATAGAAAATAAAGACTAGATGCATAACTTTGTGTCCCCAAAAATGAAGCCTTGCAGGCTAAGTTCCTTTTGAGAATGAGAATCAGTAGGATGATAGCTAATGTGACAGCTAATTAGAGATGCACTACTGCACTGACCGGTGACCGCCAGTCAACCTCCCAGATGACTCCCATATGGGCATGTGTTACGCACGCACAGCAGTGCAGGCAAATAGTCACATATATATTTTTTGTCATAACACATTGTTGTCAGGATCTGAAAGCAGAAGGCTCTGCCTCCCATACTACTATTAAACATCCTAGGAACCACAAGTAAGCCTGCTGTCTGAGAGCAAATTACTCTATAGGGGTGATAAAGTACTGTGAGGTCTTTAAGATTACATGGGGCCTGATTGTTTAATATCTTGTATGTGAGGGGAAGGATTTTAAATTTAGTTCTGAATATAATAGGGAACCAATGTAGAGTAGACAATATGGAAGAAATACCCTTCTCTTTCTAGTCCCTGTTGCCACTCTTGCTCAATCAACTCAAGGCTTTTCAGGGAGTTTTTACAACAACCTGATAATAGTGAATTACAATAATCCAGTCTAAGTAATAAATGCATGAACAACTCTTTCAGCATCCCTCTGAGACAGGATGTTTCCAATTATTGAACAAATGGAATAACAATGTCTTATATATGTATTTAATGTGCAAACTACAGTACTACTATGGCATACAGTACTATGCTATAGTACATAGTCAAAAATTACTCCAAATTTCATCACAGTGTTACAAAAGCCAAGGTAATACCACCCAGAATAAGTATCTGGTTAGAAACCATATTTCTAAGACTTTTAAGGCCGAGTACAACAACTTCAGTTTTCTAAATTTAAAAGCAGGAAATTGGAGGCCTTCCAGGTCTTTATGTTTTTAAGACATTCCTGCAGTTTAACTCATTCATATGTGTCACCTGTTTTCATAGAGAGATAAATGCATAGCTGTAAAAATGTATTCTATGCTAATGATACTGCCAAAGGGAAGCATGTCTAATGTAAACAGAATTGGTCCTAGCACGGAACCCTGTGGAACTCCATAATTAACCTTAGTGCATGAACATGAACAAACTGGAGTCTATTAGATACATATGATTTAAGCCACTACAGTGCAGTACCTATAATACCCACAACATGCTCTGTGATAAAATATTATGGTCAACAGTATCAAACGCTGCACTGAGGTCTAGTAGAACAAGCACAGAGATGAGTCCACTGTCAGCGGTCATAAGAAGATCATTTGTGACTTCACTAATGCAGTTTCTCTACTGATGAGCTCTACTGTTTTACAACTACTCTTTCAAGAATTTTGAGATAAAAGGAAGGTTAGAGAATTGCCTAGAATTTTCATGTGTTGGTGTCTGTGGCTTCTATACTTTAAGCAGTCACTGACAGCAAATGATTTTCATTGAAGCATTAAAAAGTATCCTCATGTTTAAAATGTTTGTATGTGCCTTTGTGTATTTAATTTTGAGTGTCTGAAAATGGAGGACTATTTATAAAAATGGCTGTAAACAGTTAGTGCATTTTTTTGTAAAACCCCTTTAATTAAAGCTGAACTTTATTTTTCTTTATTATTTAAAATCCACTGCTGCAAAGCTTTAAAAAAAAATGTGCCCAACAAATTATGTATCTAATTGTAGAATGCAGCACAATAACAAGTCTTTTTTTCAGCTGCATAATAACTTAACTAACCTCTTTTGAACAATTATTTAGATCAGATTTGCCACTCTGTTTCCCCATCTGCTTAGTCCAGGGAGCACTGTTTCAGGATTGTGATCAGTGTGACCAAACGGCTTGTGAATATCATCACATAAATCTGATGTTTCAACCCAGAACATTGCTTCAAGTGTTAGTAATACACCTAGCAATGAGCTTAACCAGCAATACAATCTGTTGTTGAACTAGCACATAGCTACATTAAAATAATGATAGTGTGGTTCACAATTTTTATCAGTTATTATAATTTCTTCTTGAATAATTTGCAGAGCCATTTGCAAGGTATCATAGGGATATGGGGACCATAATTAGACTAATTGTTTTCAAAGACATTGTCACAATTACTGCAATTATAAAGCAGAAGTAAACAAATTACTCTTGTTGGGTTTTCTTTGAAATTAGCTGTTTACTGATAAAAAAAATAATCAAAATGTTACAGAACAAAACATTATCTGTGTGGAGACTGTATTACCTGAAACAGATATAAACACGCCTGGATGTCATATTTCTCACAGTTTTTCACAGGTAGAGACTTGACACCCTCTGTGAATTTGCATCTCTTAATTTCCTCACTTCCTTTACTTTGTGATTTACGGAGAAGACAAATATGTTTTATATAAATTTTGGCCATACAGTAGCTACTGTGACCTCATCTACTGGTTTATGGATTGATAAACCCATGGATTATCTTAGATTATTTGATGGATAACTTGATAAAATTGTTCCATATTGCACAAACACCATAAAGAAGGTTCAGCGTTCGATGGTTCAAATTAATTAAGGTGCCTCTTAGCTGACTCTTAGGTGCCGGCATCTACATGCAAGTGTTACTCAAAGATGTCAAACCTGCATGCTAATACATCAGCCCATCTGTGGTTATCTCAAGGGGGACAGTTAGCTGTCTAGACCAAAACAATTTGTAGCAGGATGTAAACATGTTTATTTCTGGAGTGGATCTGAACATTGGGTCCCAAATGGCCACTTGAGGAACTGCAACTTAGGCCACTTTTGCTTTGGCTTAATTATTCAGCCCTTAAGGCTGCGACTTCTACAGAATCCATTTCAAAATTTTCTCTCACCATCTCTCTGGTTGAAAATGTGTTTTCTCTCACAGGCAAGCTTTTCATTGACTTCCTTTTATGGCTCATTTTGACACGTCCTCAAAATATAATTTAAATTCATTGGAGCCGGTAAAGTCTGGTTAGACAATTTTATCTGCTTCATTTAATCACATCTTTCATATTCAAATTGGAATTTAATCAAAGGTAATCACAGCTGGCTTATCCTGGGAATATTTAGTAAGTCTTTTATTAATAATTGCCCACCTGTTCATCCCAAAAGTCACTTTTAATAAATTCTGCTTTCATTTTCTTTTTCTCTCCTGCTTAAACATCATGTCTTACATAGTCCTCCAGCAGGATTGTGTTGTTGTTCTTCAAAACAGCTCCACTATTGACACTTTTGACCATTTGTTTATCCTTCCCCTGTCTCCTCCATTGCTCTAGTGCTTGGTGTGGTTCCTGAGCTCTGCCTGTGCCGGGACCTGGAGCTCGACTGTGACGGGGCTCATCTTCAAGATATCCCAGTGGTAGCAATGAATGTCACTATGATGTGAGTAGAAAATAACCCCTATTTTTCTTCGATACTTTCAAACTCAAGCAATGTCCAGAAAGACAGTCATCAGCAGCGATTACTGTCACAACTTGCGAGAATTTTTGTAGCAGACATTTGCCACTTCAAACATCACTTGCCACTGTGAATACCTGTCATTGCCACAACTTGAAAGGTAAAAAGTGAAAATTATTGCCTGAGACATGGCACTCAAAGAACTCAAATCTGTTGGACAATTCTCTGAGAGCAAAGATGGTGGTAGAACTAATCATTTTCTGGGCAAAAAAAGTCTTTTAAATTTTTTTTCTTTTAATTTATTCTTTACATGAAAGTTAAGTTCAGTAATATACTACTTTAAACAAAATGCATGGATATATTTCAACAAGACCACTCAGTGTTGAGACTTACTGTTAAAAGCTATAAAAGCTAGCCCGTACTCATTTAAAATATGGCCTTTTTATCAGTACAATGTACAACATCCAGAATCAGATCAACTATGCTACCGTAAGTCCAACACCTATGTTACAAATTTAGCCTTGAAAATGTGACATTAAGACAACTATAATGTATGTGGAATAAATAATAAAAGGCTCATTAATCACATGTCCTCACAGACTGGCTGGATGCGTCGCAAGCACACTCATTTATAGAATTCCCTGTTCAACAGTTGGACCAGCTTCTAAATATATGACACATACAGCACATCTTAAGGTGTGAGTGTATATTCTGAGCATATTAGCAGTAAACATGTTGCAATGATTTACAAATGTCAGAAGGTACAGAAAGTACAAAAATGTTAATAATTTAATACTAGTAATATTTCCATAATGTGGAGGGGCCCTTTTGCCAGATCTCAGCCCAAAAGAGCATCTTTGGGTTGTAGTGATCCTGGAGTTATACATTATGGAAGTGCAATCAATACGTCTTTAGCAGCTGCTAAATGATGATGCTGTCAAAGTCTCTCATAACTAAAATCTCAGAAGAGTATTTCCAGCAATTCCTTGAATCTATTCAATGAAGAAAAAGCAATTTTAAAGGCAAAGTAAGGCCCAACCCTGTTAGTAATCAAGTAATTTTGTAATTTTGTTTAGTTTTGTTTTCATTTCTTTTAATGGATTGTCAGTTCAAATAAATAACACTGACTTTTTGTTCTAATGAATCATCACCTCGCTTCCTTTCATGAGCCCATTATAATTATCTTGCCCACTACAGGGCTATGAAACAATCTAACTAGGAGTCATAATTAACTGCTTGCACAAAGAGCCTCTGGGAGAAGACGGTCTCTACTTGCCAGCTATCCAAGAAAAACAAAGTTAAAGTAAACAAAGTTAGAGAATGGTGCACCAAAGGGGATTGCGTTAATAGTAAGACGTTTTCCCAAATGTGAAAAAAACTGACTACTTCTGCTTGATAGAATAGTGCGTGAGAAGATGAGCTTTTAATCATCCTTTAATCCTTTAAAAGGCTTGGAATCAGCAGCTGAATCAGTTGGTCAGTTCAGGGTCTCTTGACCCTGATATGGTCTCTTGGCATAAGAATTTAAAAGACCACTAAGCTGTAGCTTGTAATGTTTACAGATTAATGTTTCTGGTAACTGGCTTAGTCAGAAAAAGTAAGTTGGACATTATAGGGAGTTTTTGTCTTTTTATATGTATTTTACGTGGATAATCCAGTTAAGATGTTAACATATTAAAATATTAAAATCTGTATATCAAAAATCTTCTTTGAGTAAATTAAAATGCCTGCTATGTAATAAATAAATAAAATCAGCGTAGTGATGTTATGTTTCATTTTAAATCGTTTTTAAGATTCACAGCCACAAAATCCCATTAATCATAGTCAGAAGAAACATGCTGTCCAAGTGTCCAAAGGTGAGTGGTGCTTTTGGTTTCAAGCAATAAACATGTAAATGTCCCTGTCTCTCAGGTCCCTACAAAGGAATGGGCTTCAGAAACTTAGAGCGAACATATTCTTTAAGTACCAGAGCCTGCAGAAACTGTGAGTGTTCCATTAATTGTGGATTACATGCTATTTATGTTCTTTTATTGCATTTGTAGTCTTATTGTCTTTCTACAATATTCTTTTCTGTTTTTTATATTGTTTGTTTTTTTTCTTTAAAAAATAAAAAAAGCTCCACACACAATAGATCAGGTGCTATAGTAAGATGCTTTACTATTCATTGAGTAAAGCATCTTCACTCTACCTTGACCTGGCAAATGCAACAAATAAGCATCACATCTATAAAGCTGGTATGTGTAAGCTAAGAGGACTGCTGGGAACGTTGACAGATTTGTTCTGCTTTGCATACAAATTCATTCATTGTCCACTTGTGTTGTTTATCAGCCTCACACAGTCACACTGACAATGGCAACATGAGAATAGGTCTTATCCCTCGCCAGAAACTATTTGGTAGCTTTTGCTGGACTGAAAACTTCCCTGAGATGTGTATAAACAAACATTAGAATGAATTGCCGTGTGTGAAAACACAAGACAAAACACAACTGTCAGCAGGGGTTTGTCGAGCTTGTAGTGTCCAATATAAAGGAGTATTCTTGGAAGAGATTATCATTATTTGATGTGAACGATTTCATTTACGCAAAAGTTGCACTTGAGCAAAGGCATTCAGGCTTTATGGCTTAGTATGTCTGTTTTGTTTTTTCTTATAGCTATCAAGTAAAAATAAAGAAAATATTTTGTGCTTTATGTATGGATAGATATCTCCAGCACAACAAGATTCAAGATGTGAGTCCTGATGCATTTAGAGGGCTGTATAACCTGACAAGACTGTAAGTTTGTTACATTTTTGCTTTACGTGTAATTTGATAATACGCACTCTGAGTTGCATTGGTTTCTTATCTGTTCTTAAAATGCAGAAAAGCATTAGTTCACTTGCAGTAGTTAATTTTGGCAACCTAGCACATCCTGCTTCTTGACATTAACAAGGTATGCTTGTATATGAACATTCACTTTAAGAGGATCGATTATATAAACTGACCAATGATGAACTGCTTTTGGAAGTTCAACACCACTTACAAATTGTTATCAGCATCTGGTGCAGGTAACCTTCCATTGTCTTTCTGTATGTAGATATCTGAGCAACAACAGGATATCGGTTTTAATGCCTTGGGTGTTCAGGGATCTGCACAAACTTGAGTGGTTGTATGTATCCAGCTTTTATAACATATATCACCTTTTATTTCTTCTTCTTGCTTTGTGCTTTTTTTATTACTTTCAGGTATGCACGTCAGTGATTGCAGTTTTGTATTGTGCAAAACTATATTCTATTTTTGATGTATTTGTTTTTACTCTAGGATTCTTGAAAATAACAACATCCATCAAATATCCCCCACGACCTTTTCAGGACTGAACTCCCTTGTTCTATTGTGAGTCATTATTTTGACTTTTTTCTGCTGCAAAGGCTTTCAGATCATCGAAAGTGGTGCTATTAAGAGTGCTTGGCAGCTACGAGCAAATGAGTGTTCTTTCTTTGAACTTTAAGAGAAAAGCCTTTCACCTTCTTTCATTTTGTCTTGCTGATTGACAGGGTTTTGCTGAACAACTCTTTGACAAAGCTGGATGACATCTGTCGAGAAATGCCCAGATTAAATTGGTTGTAAGTAGAATGTCAAAAAAAATCTAAACTTCTCCTAACATACAAGTGCCAATTTGCGATCAATCTGTTCTTTGTGAGCAGTTTGGGTGCATTTGTCTGTGTTCATTTGATAATATGTTGTTGCAGGGACCTGGAAGGAAATCTCATTGAAGTGATTGGCAATGCCTCATTCAGCTCATGCACCATGCTGACAGTTCTGTAAGTATAAATCTACATAATTTATTACATGGCTGAGGTGCAGTATTTGCATTTACATTTTTTCTTTTGCTGCAGTTCCTGTTAGAGGATTGCAAATCAACCTTAGTTTCATACAAATTGATGAACTGTACTATCCTATGTGTGGGATCAATTCTGGCAGTTCATTAAATGGGATTAAGGTAGGAAAAATAGTCATATAATTCTTTCTGTGTCTGTTGCCTGTCTCCAGGGTTCTGCAGCGAAATAGGATCAGCTACGTACATGAACAGGCTTTCTCAGTCCTGCAAAAGCTTGGAGAATTGTAAGTAAAAATATTTTGCACAAACAAACTTCAAAAAACAAAACAAAACTCTCTGGATTGTGCCAAAAAAAGCTGAATTGAAGCCATGTAAGATGTGGATTTTGAAGATTCATTGTGATTAATGACTCAAGAAGTTCCAAAAGAACAGAAGGAAACGACAGCATTTAAAAACACTATAAATGCTCTGTTCTATTAAAAAAAGCACTGAAATAGCCAGATCTATGCTTTAATCGCTTCCAAAGATTATCCTAGACGTCATTAAAACCGTCTGTAACACCTAAGATACAGCAGCTTCCTGTCTAAGAAGGACAAACATCAAACACTGCTCAGTGCAATAACCGACATCATTTAAGGACGTGTCTAATAAAGTAACATTTAGCTCAAGGGTTTGTAGAAAACCCCTGTGGAAAGGCAGGGTGCACCCGGGACAGGTTATCAGTCTCACAGAGACAAACAACCATTCAAGATAATATTCACTCCTGTAGCCAGTTTACAATCATCAGTTAATTACAATCAGCAGTCCTTGCTGCTCCATCTACTTGACTAGCATCTGTATAGACCACTTCAGGTCTCACTTGTATTCTGATACGTTATGGAATTTGCACAGGTGTCACATGAATAGAACTGAGTGATTTAGAAGGAAATTTGATTGAGATCAGCGGTTATAATTGAGCATTTTATAGTCATGTTGATGATCCATGAACTTCACATTTTTATTGTGTCTGTGCTTTAATTCTAACAAGCAACAGTCAGTGGCTTTAAATGTGGAACTTCTTAATACTTTTTGACAATGGCAATTTGATCTATATAGCACATTTAATTATATGTAAAGTTCAGAAGATATAAACCCAGTGTAGGTTTTATATGACTTAATGCAGTTAAAACAGCAAAATAAAGCCCCCACACCAATGTCTAAATCATGAATAATCAAAATCACTGACTTTTATCTGGTATTGTTACAGTAGCAGTGTGGGTAGAAAGAGTTAATCCATGACTGGGAAACCTCCTGTGTACGGTTAACATCAGTTAGTCTTTAATTCTCTTCAAAAACTGTGAGTTCAAACATCCAGTCATCCACCCATTCACACACTGGTGATGGCAAGCTACATTGTAGCCACAGCCACCCGGGGGCGCACTGACAGAGGCGAGGCTGCCGGACACTGGCGCCACCGGGCCCTCTGACCACCACCAGTAGGCAATGGGTGAAGTGTCTTGCCCAAGGACACAACAATCAAGACTGTCGGAGCCGGGGCTCGAACCGGCAACCTTCCAATTACAAGGCGAACTCCCAACTCTTGAGCCACATAAGAAACCACTTGGACAAAGACATTTATATTTAATGATGAAGAGGGATAGTAGGGTAAATATATAATGCATTAAAGCCATACAACCACAACATTCACAGTGCTGCAGTTGGTAACACTGAATCTTCAAAATAGGGTAACTGTGAATGTATTATATTAATGCAGTCTGGGAAACCTGCTGTGGATGGTCACTAATGAAAAACGTGGCTACAACAACCCACCATAAGCATAGTGTCAGTATTCAAAGGACTTTACATTTTTTGTTATTGCTGTTTTTCAGCTTGCCTGTCATTCTATCCACCCCCTCTCCCCTAACAGAGTTACTGAGGGTGGATCTTCCTCTGAAGATCTGTATGCATCCATCAAATGCCCAGTGTTGTACATCAATATTTATTCATTGTTCTTTATTTTTGGAGAACTGATGTGGATTTGTCTGTGCACACAGGGATCTATCCAGAAACAGACTGGCAGGAATCCCTCCGAATCTCTTTGTCTTACTTGAGGATTTGCTCCAGCTGTGAGTTCTCTTTATACAAATACCCACAGACACATAGTTCTGTATGCGGATACCTTTCCCATAGCCTTCTCTATGGCTATTTATATCTTTGTAGTCATCGAGAATGACAGCAGACTGACAGTTTGTCATTTTGCAAAAACTAGACATAGTTTCATGTTTTCAATGAAAAGTGTGTATACAGACTTTGACTAAACTGTAGTAAATTTTGCTGGGGGTTTTGTACTACCTTTTAATTTTTAGAACTTATGTAATGATGAAAAATTGCAAATTGCAAAGATAATATATGATTGTATCAGTTTTAAATTAATGTTCTGTGAAGGGGTTTTGTACGGCTGGTTAGTTTAATATACAATGACAAGTCATAATTTATTGAGCAAGTACATGTTATGTAAGCATTAATTTTATGAAGAGTTATTAGAAGCTGAAGCTATGAAACACATGAAAGAGTGAAGTATTTACCTTCTTTTAATTGAAAAATGATAAAATGGTAATAACTAAATTGCTCAAAGAATGCAAAAGACAATTCCCTTATAATAAATTATAAATAGCAAGGATAATATCATTGTGATATTATTGTGTTTAACATTGTTATACAGAATAATTGTAGATTAAATACAGAAAATACCACAAAAATAGTGTCAAACTGTGGTATAGCATCTTCCTAGGGATTATAAATTTTAAGCAGAAGACAGTCAATACACTGATTCCCTAACCACTAATAAATATGCTGGTGGGAGGATAACAAGATAGAAAATGAACAGAGGAAGGACACACCTTTAAGATGTGAAGCAGGAGGTAATGTGACAGTATGACAGGAAGATAAACATGTGGGAGGCAGCTGACATGCATAAAATGCTTCTAGACATATTTAAATGTCACTGGTGTTCTATTTGTTTTCATGAAACTGCATCACTGAAGATTGCTGTGCTTTGTTTCCGTCCTCCCATGCATAATGTACAGTGAACTGTAATTTCATTAATCATTTATGTGTGTGTGCTGTTCATTGTTGCTTATTTTCTCCTTTTTTCTGCAGAAATATATCGTACAATCCCATCATGGAGCTGCAAGTTGACCACTTTGATAAGTTACATAAGTTAAAATCATTGTAAGTATTTGATGATGCATCCCTGATAACATTAAAATTTTAAAAAAAATCTATGTTTAGCATTAAATAAAACTGAGTTAATCAATAAATTGATATCAAGTAACCACACAAACTCGGTTTACAATCAACCTTTTATGTAAATATACTGTTTTTTTTATTCTAATTTATTATTTTTTTACTATATCATATTTATTTTACTTTCATATCGATCTTATCTTATTGATCTTATCTTTCATGTTGGTGCCTGTCCAATTACTTTGGTCAGCTCCAGTTTTTGATTTGATTAGTTTGACTAGTTTGAAGAAGGTTATCATTTTTTAATGTTTTTCCATTTTTGAGAACCTCAGTATATTCTGCATATTGCTGTTTGAGACATTCCGGCAAGTGATTGTCATACTTTTTCTTCATACGCACAAGCTTGAATTCACAAAAGTCAAAATCTAAATAAACAGAAGACTAAAAATGTCTCTTTCTAGTAGAAATGTCCCCCATTTAGGCCTTGAAAGGCCATTTACCAAGAAGAAGATTTGGTGAAAACACGTTTTCACGTTTTTGTGTACAAAACAAATCAGCATACTGTATTGTGTGTGGCATCAAACTAAGACAAAATCATCTTTATATTTGTTAGGAGCATAGAAGGAATAGAAATTGGAAACATTCAGCGAAGGATGTTTGAACCTCTCAAATACTTGACTCATATGTAAGTACTCCATTGTGATGGTCTATGTTTAAACAGTAAATCCTTATTGTTCAGTCTGGACTGTCATAGAGACAATGTGTTACTCACACATAGAAATATTATCCTAGTAATGAGCTTTGAGCTAGCCTTATTGAGACTGTCAGACTCCTCTTCCAACCAAGAGATGATTAAGTCAAGCTTAGTGTAATCCTTCTTTTCTGTTGCTAAAACAACTCAAGATACATCCATGTAAGTCCTGAAGAGATGCAACAAGACAGAGAACATGATAAGATGAATGCCTCTTCACCCTTGGATACAGTCACAGAGATTCTTTAACATTCCCTTTGTAATAGTGCTTCATACAAGTTTTAGTAAGTGTCAGCTGCATTCAAATCTATCTTATTTTGCAGAAGTAAAATGCATTTTAAAGCAGCAGTGCTCAAGCTACTTCATTCATAAATATTTTGATATATGCCAGCACCCTACCTTAGACATGAATGGAATAGCATTTTTATTTCACAAAGCAATTTAAAAAATAAATTTAAAGTTGCATCTCTATTTGAAGAAATTGTTGCACCTATTATTCAGAAAACTCCAGAAGTAAAGCAGTGAACTGTTTTCAAAGGGATTGTTTCTTTATAAGAGTGCATTTCCATAAAACATGTGCATTGACTAAAGGGACTTAAAAAAAAACAAAAAAACAACATAGTTAATTTTTGAACATCATGATTTGATCGCAATTTAATTGTCCTAAAAAGGTCATTCCGCTTTGGTTTTGAAGAGTGAGCACCAGCATGTGTGTGACATTTGAGAAATGTGAAACAAATATTGGCCAATTATTAATTTTGCACTCAATTCATATTTTCCTGGATGAATTCTAATAGCACTGAGGATGCTCTGACTTTCCAAATAGAGACTACTGTCAATACTCTGTAAATTAATGTCATTCCTTTAATACTATAGCAATAAAATAACTGATTAACATATAGTAAGCAAATTAACATTGTAAGGACAGTAGCATGTTCACTTTGACATTTAGCTATGGGCAATATTGGAAGCTGGAAAATAGTTTGATTTGTTGAAATGTCATTTTTAATTACTGTAAGGACTAGAGCAGGGCAATATGACCAAAAATATTTATCACGATATACGTTTGAAAATTTATAATGATATAACTGACAATATAATTGACAGTAGCCAAAATACTTTACAACTCCACAACTTTATTAGTGGAAAAAAAAATCAATGTATTTTCACTTAAACAAGCAGCAGTTTTTTATGTGCATTAAAGTTATATAAAAATTTAACAGTGCAAATGCAAATTCCTTGCTGATATTATGTTGAAGCAAAGTACGTATCACTCCGCGAGGCTCCTGCCTACGATAGCTGCAATGCTCCGACAATCTATCAAGCGGTGCGGGTTTCTTAGCTTAGCAAAGTCGTACTAAAACATTTGACAGATTTTCGAGCGCCGTGTAGCACATAAAATCGTTTCGAGGTCAGTAAACACAACCAGAATTCATACATAAGGCACACGGGATTATAAGGGGCTCTGTCGATTTTCAGAAAAATCAAAGGATTGATTTTAAGTGTGCCGTACTTTCCAAAATACGGCCGTCGCTAGCATGCGCTAACAAAAATAGTGCTTTGTTGTGTATCTGATGGACGAAAGCTAAACCAGTTCCACACTAGTGAAGTTGCCGCATTTTTACAAACCAATTCTGGTTCATCTGTTTCATTCAACGATCCGCTTTCGTCCTTCTCATTTTCCGTCGCCAGCACGCTTTTTCCGCCATGTGTGTATGAAAACAAAGGCACTGCGCATTCGCATTTTACCCATATTCTATCGCGATATTTCATTTTCTTATCTTTGCCCAACATTACACCGGTATTACCATGAACGGTATGATATGGCCCAGCCCTAGTAAGGACCATAAATGACATGTCAATTTCTATACAGGGGTTGATGGTGGGAGATGGGCAGATAATTCAGCTGAATAAACCCTTTAATTCTTTCTTTGGATAAAATGATTACTGTTAAACTTTTGCAGGTCTCCACCTGGGTAGAAAGACAAAAGACAAAAGCACTCATTTTAATTTAAGTTGGCTTCTTGATTAGGTTCACCACCTTTAGAGTCTCACAGCTTCGGGTGCTATTATTTCCATATAAAATTGGCACTTCAGATCACCAGAATACCCCTTCTTGCTTTATTCCTGTCTCTTATTTCTGCACCTGCCAGTATGTATAAAAAGAAAAGACATTTAGAGTGTGGTATTTTCCTGTTGCCTTGATTGACCCAGAACCTTTTTGGTTCAAATAAACAATCTCCTTTTGTCTGTTGCTTAACCTTACACTTTTTTTTTTTGCGTAATTACAGCTACTTCAAGAAATTCCAGTACTGTGGCTATGCTCCTCATGTGCGTAGTTGTAAGCCCAACACTGATGGAATCTCATCCTTTGAGAACCTACTGGCCAATATTGTGCTGAGGGTCTTCGTCTGGGTTGTGTCTGCTACCACCTGCTTCGGCAATATCTTCGTCATCTGCATGCGGTCGTACATTCGCTCAGAGAACAAACTACATGCCATGTGCATCATCTCCCTCTGCTGTAAGTGACGTTACTACATTTAAAGTGGAAAACTCGTATAACTTTTAGGATATAACTTTCACTGGCTACAAAGATTTTATTGTTTGCTGTTGCAGTTTCTAGATTACAACTGACATATTCTTCCAACACTGTGTCCTTCTGATAGCCTTGAATGTCAAAGGCAGCACAAAGCATGAAATTAGTTTCCACCGTGCCTATCACCATGTTTCAATAATAAAGGTTTAATATTAAATACACTGGCAATCCTCATGAATACTACTAAATGCAAAAAGCTGGCAGTTGATTAGATAAGATATTCTCATCATCCAAAGAAATAAAAAGTCATTAAGATAAGACATGATTAACATGATATGTAAAAATAGTAAATATATATTCAAACTTAACTCTTGTCATAAAACTGCTTTTATATATGATGCATACTAAGTGGCAAAAAGCAGTTTTGACTGAGATACAGCTGAACTACACTCGCCAGTCACTTTGATGGGTTCAGCTATTCAACTGCTTGTTAACACAAATCAACCAATCAAATTGCAGCAGCTCAAGGCATGTAGACAGGTTGACTCAAATTGACATTCGCTATAACCAAGGTATCTAGACGTGCATTTCTAAGTACACAACAAATCACAAATCATTGTTGCTGATCATGCCGACCCGTTTATGATCACAGTTTAGCATTTTCTTTTATCTACTCACAAAAGGATAACAGTCCATGACACACTATGTCACAAAGCTCAAAACATCTCAAACTGGTTTCTTGAACATGACAGTAAGTTCACTTGTTCTCAAATGGCCTCTACAGTTACCTGATCTCAGTCTGTTAGAGCACCTTGGGATTGGAATGGGGAAACCGCATCATGTATGTGCAGCCAACAAATCAGCAGCAAATCTGGTATGATGCTATCATGTTGGTACAGCCTAAACTCTGAAGAATGTTTCCAGCATCATGTTGAGTTTGTGCAACAACAAAGTAAAGCCGTTCTGGAGGCTAAAGAGGATCCGACTTGGTTTAAATTAGATTTAAATCTTTCTTTTTGATAAAGCATATAGTAAGGGCTGGATCAGGTGACATGTAATCTTTAGTTATTATTAATCTTTGGCTTTCTCCCACAGCATGTCTTTGTCCTATCTTCCTCCCCTTACCGGTAACCGGTCGCAACTGATGTCCTGAGCCAGAGCTCAGAGTTTTGTGGTTTCAAACACAGTGGAAAAGTAAATCCAGTCTTTTTGTGGAGTGCACTGGTGTGTGAATGTGATATGAGAACTGTTTTCGTTAGCAAGTAGATTTTTGGCCAAGAAAGCCAAAAATGAAGCTTATGATGATGAGAAAAGTAAAGCATTTTAAATATGACTTATTCTCTGCTACTTTAGCTGAAGAGTTTAAAAAGAGTATCTTAATGCAAGCAGGATGTGTTTGCATATTGCTTTTAATATGGCTATTAAAGGAGCGGAAAGAGTCAAGGAAGAAATGAACCAATAACAAAGTACAAACATGAAAGTGTTGAGTCATCCGTACTTAGAACTGGAACAAGACTTGACATGAATTAATTATGCTTGTATCAGCCATTGCCTTTTCCTAAGAAAGCCAAAGTATTCATGATCTTTAAGTGACTATATAGGAGCCCCATCACACAGTCGGCAAGTTTAATTTTTGTACCCTTACAATCTTTCTATGACACATTATAACATAAAAAAAACCCAAAACATACAAAAGAAAACTTAATAGCAGTGTTTAGTTATTTTATTCCAGGTCCACAATTAATGCCTTCTAAAGAGCTTTGGTCTGATTCAGCATCAAAAGAATTATTAACAGGACTAAGGAGGAGGATTTGAGTAATGAATTCACCAAACTATCAAAGAAATAAACATTAATCCATGACTGATGAAGCAGTGGGCAATTCATCAGAGGATATAAGTTGTGAATTAAATCACAAATTTAAGAAAAAAACATTGTGATAACTTTGCAAACAGAATTGAAAGTAGGTATAAAAGAAAATACCAGATGGGGCTGGTAGTTATCTTTTAGTTTTAGTTCTTTTTCTCTCCAAGAGTTTCAAGCATGAAACAATGGTTGGTGTACGATGCATAGTCATGTTTTGTATATCAAATTCTAATTATTCCAAGAGATGGAGATTGCACATTGAACAGTCTTTTAAGACAGATGTATAACGTCTCAGCTTGCTTTTTGAACTTCTAACCTTTTGTTAGTCAAAGGAGCTTGCAAAGAAAAGCGTCTGGACTTCTTTAAGTTGCTTGAAGACGTTTCACCTCTCATCTGAGAAGCTTCTTCAGTTCTAAGGTCAAATGGTGTGGAGTCCCAGATTTAAACCTAGTGGGAGTGTCCCCCCACAGAGGGACAAAAGGACCCCCTGATGATCTCTAATCGCCTGAGCCAAGATGTGAAACTGGGTGTGGGTCCCAATCAACCAGGGTTTCGGGTGAGCTCATTGTGAAACCTGGCCCCACCTTATCATGCGAATTCCTGAGGTCAGATGGCCCAGGATGTGAGTGGGCGTTAAGGCGTCTGGGAAGGGAATTCAAAACTGGATTATAGATGGCAAACAGTTGGTGTCGTAAACCACTGCCTCTGTTCAAAGATGGTCGCTCACAGTGGACATAGATGGCTTCTTTCACTCCTCTTTCAAACCATCTGTCCTCTCTGTCCAAAATGTGAACATTGGCATCCTCGAAAGAGTGTCCTTTATCCTTAAGATGCAGATGGACTGCTGAGTCTTGTCCTGTGGAGGTGGCTCTTCTATGTTGTGCCTTGCGCTTGTGAAGTGGCTGTTTGGTCTCTCCAATGTAGAGGTCTGGGCATTCCTCGCTGCACTGTACAGCATACACCACGTTGTTAAGTCTGTGTTTAGGAGTTTTGTCTTTCGGGTGAACCAGTTTTTGTCTGAGTGTGTTGCTGGGTCTGAAATGCACCGGGATGTCATGCTTGGAGAAAACTCTCCTGAGTTTTTCTGATACACCGGCTACATAGGGGATGACAATGTTGTTGAGTCTGTCCTTCTTATCCTCCTTCGCTGGTGTCTGGTCTTCTTTTCTGTGCATCTTTGCTGACTTTATAAACGCCCAATTAGGATAACCGCATGTTTTGAGTGCTTCCTTTACATGTGTGTGTTCCTTCTTTTTCCCTTCAGGCTTAGAGGGAACATGTTCTGCCCGGTGGTGTAGGGTCCTAATTACTCCAAGTTTGTGTTCCAGAGGGTGATGGGAGTCAAAGAGGAGGTACTGGTCCGTGTGTGTGGGCTTCCGGTAAACTTCGATGTTGAGGTTGCCATTCTCTTCAATATGCACAGCGCAGTCCAGGAAAGGCAAGCTCCTTTGACTAAGATGACCTGGATGACTGAGAACCTTCACAGACATAACCTTTTGTTAGTTTGTTAGTTTTGAAGAGAAAGTTACATGCTCTCAAGAATTTCTGCCCGAGGGGGTACGCACAAGTTTTTGAGTGCATTGTCCTCCTCACCTTACTTGCAGCAAGCTGTAATGGACTCATTACGGCAACCTAACAAAGAGACCCACTGCTTCTTGAGTGAAGGCTGTGAAGTGCATTTTTCGTCAGTTGTCGCAAGGGGTGACAATCAAATTCCACACTGAAAAACTAACTTAACTAAGCAACACAAATTTGAGGTTTGGGCTTTAAATGTTGCTTTTTCTAACGTTTATATAAAAAAAAATGATGTACAGTAGGGGTCAAAGTCTTAACAAGAAGGGCACCTCAGTGTCAACTAATTTATTTGTGTAATATACTGGGATGTTTATAATTTGAGCTATTTGCATAAGAGGTATTTTGTTATGTTTTATAATATTGTAATATAGATTGTAGTAATTACTTTAGTTTATTTAGTTACTGTTCTTACTGTCTTGGAGCAACTGTGACCACATAATTTCCTCTGGGATTAACAAAGTATTCTGATTCTGATTCAGAAACTCTAGTAGGTCTAGTGATGATACCTATAGTTTGTATTTGTTTAGACTTTTTATCATAAAAAATATTGGCTCCGCAGCTTATATTTACATTTGTAATCACATGAATATTTCGAACCTTGGAATCTACAGGTTTGTACAAAACTTCATATCCCATATTATACCATCTCACAACATCCCCAAAAAGTTTCTTGTTTTATCGAGAAAGTTTTCTTAGTCTTCAAATGCCCCCACAAACGTTCCATGGGGATGAAGGTGGGTGGCTTATAGAGCAAAATCAGTGACAGTTGATGTTTTTTCTTTCGTAGCTCTCGGAAAGCTTGTATTGTGGTCATTATTCTGCTGCTGTATAAATTCTTTTCTAAAAACAGGAAAACCAAAAGATGTCTCTGATAAATGAAGTGTTGCTGTTGCAAATAGAACACTTTTTCCAATCAGAGAAATGCTGGTGAATGTTAATATATCCCCCAACTGTTATAGGAACTAATACGAATGCACTTGTGCTGATTGGAGTCTTGCTTTTTCTTCTATAGCAAAATCTGTATGTGTTCATTTTTTTTCCCCAACTCTCAGTCTACTGAGCCTTATTATTGATCTTCTTATAGTCCGGTCACTCTAATTCCATTTGATCGTGCTTTGAATGTAAATAAGCAGTTTTACCAGTGCATGTAAAATGCCATAACCTCTTCAAAGGTTTTACTCTAATCATCATTTCACACAGAAAAAGCCCTTCTTTACTTTGGATAAAATCAATTTGACTTTGGACACCTCCATTAGTTGATACTGTGTTTCATTCTATTAAAATGTTGCTCACTGATACTTGCAGTGTGCTTACTTGTGTTTTGCTGGAAATCTTGAGCAATGTCTGCAAGTTCATTTATTTGAAAAGGTTTCTCATGAATAGATCAAATCCACTTGTATTACATTTGAATGTTTTTTTTAATGGAACAGATACTGTCATGGTCACTGTGCTTCTGCCTTGTTTGACCCCCATGTCATCAGCCAAAATAAAGGCTCGCTTTTCGTTTGAACTCAGTTTCGTGTCTTCGCCTGTGTCTGAGTCCTCCACACACTCTCCACTCGGTCTGCCACTGCGGATCGTGACAAGATACAACTGAAAGAAATGAACCTTTTTTTTAACATGAATAACATGACCTATTTTTTTCAAATTAGACTGAGAGACCCAAGAATACTCTGCAATATTAAATATTTCCCCATTTTACATGTCAGAATTTAGATTGCATTTAAATGTTAATCCTCAAACTCCTTGAACATTTCTTGGTTTAGATAAGATGTTTAAAAGTTTTGAAATTCAAGTGTAAAACTCAGCTGTTTCATTTTTGTTCAGAATCTATAAATATGCAGCACTGTTGTATGCTCCATCACGCCTGTGACCCTAAACTGCGGTTAACAGGATGGATGGATGAATGGGTATCCCTTACATGTTCTTTAATAATACGCAACATTTAAAGTGTATGTCGATTTCTTCAAAACTGGCTTCTAACTAGCTGTGATATCCTAAATCATTCTCCCCTCAAGTAAAATTTAACTCGGAAGAACCTTCCTCTTTGAGTAGAAGAACATAAAATCAGCATTCTAGTTTAAAACACTGAACATACATTATTCTGTTTCTCTTTCATTAGTTTTGCCTTGAGTTCTCTAGTTAATGTGTCAGTTTTGTTTCCCTTGAACAGAACAGAGCTAGTTTTTTTTCCTATTCAAAGTCTTAATGCTAAGTTAAAACGAGCCCAGCCGCTACTCCTTTTCCTCAAGAGTTTCAGCAAGAATGCTAATGGGTATATTTTTGCACCATTTCAAACTGATCATATCATTCATTTCCTTTTCATAACAGTTTAGACCGCATGAAAGACTGATGTTGGCCTATAGTATCCCTGGTTCCTCTTAATATGCATGGATTTCCGAGGTTGAGTGGCTGCTGTCAGCATGTTATCATTAATCTCCTTCTTACAGATTCAATCCTTTCGTGTTGACCAATTTTTGAACTTGTCTTTTTTTTCAGAGCACTGCAGTGTTTATTTGGTGTTAAAATAAGTCCAACTGACATTGTGCTCACATTTCTTAATTAATCTAAAGTAATGAAACTAAATTTTCTGAAGCAAAGCAGCCCAAATACATCGTTATAGCTATATGTTCAGCCAAATACTCCAGAAATATCAGGATATAATCTTATACCAAAATCTCATAAGTAATTTGTAAATCAGCTGCTTTTTCTTCGCAGGTGCAGATGGGTTGATGGGCATCTACCTCTTCATGATCGGTGCATATGACCTAAAGTTTCGAGGCGAGTACAACCGGCACGCCCAGGCGTGGATGGATAGCAGCCAGTGTCAGGTCATTGGCTCTTTGGCCATGCTGTCCACTGAAGTATCTGTCCTGCTCCTCACATATCTAACGCTGGAGAAATACATCTGCATAGTCTACCCTTTCCAGTACTTGACTCCTGGCTGGCGACGAACTGTCACCATCCTTCTTGGGATATGGGTGTTTGGTTTTATTATTGCCTTCCTCCCATTAGTTTGCAAGGGGCTGTTTCGCAACTTTTACGGGACCAATGGTGTCTGCTTTCCACTGCACTCTGAACAACCAGAGACTCTATGGGCTCACGTTTACTCCGTCGTTATTTTCCTGGGTGAGGATTTGTTCTTGAAACAGTGCTTTGAAGATTTTTGTTCATGTTTTCACTTGTTGTTTTTTTTTTGTTTTTACTTCTTCTCCAAAGGTAACTGTAAAAGTACAGGTTCTGTATTTAGTATATCTGTTTTATATGTGGGGGGGTTTTGCATTTATTTATTTGCTCTGGATGCAAAGATTTATTATACATGTACATTCAAGTACTGCAAATTTAAACTTGTTTGTATGAAATCTTTCCGTAGGTCTTAACCTGGTGGCATTCCTCATCATTGTCCTCTCCTATGCAAGTATGTTTTATAACATCCAGAGAACAGGCACTCAGACCACTAAATATAGCAACCACATCAAAAAAGAGGTGACCATTGCCAAAAGATTCTTCTCTATCGTCATTACTGACTCTCTCTGCTGGATCCCCATTTTCATCCTCAAGATCCTCTCGCTGCTGCAGGTGGAGATTCCCGGTACAGTAAAAGAATGACAAGCATTTAAACAAACACTTTGATGAAAAAGAGCATTTTGAGTAAAATACTACCTAATTAGCCTCACAGTTTGCCTCTACAACATTTTTGGCCTCTTAGCTCAGCTGTGTCTGCTGCAACTCACTAAAAGAAGCAGATGATTTGATGAATGCAGGCAGGTCTTTATAAGGGTTCAGCAGAATGTAGCTGCTAGACTTTTAACTAATACCACATGGATACGATGATGGATGTGACTGATTACCTGTGTATAGATTTTATTATTTTTAATGATTTTTTTTTTTTTTTTATATCCTACTGTTTTACTGATTTTTGCTTTAAGGTTATTCATGACAGGCTTCATTTTATTATTCATTATTCATTATTCATTTGATTTTTTTTTTAGTGACATCATCATTGACCAGGTCATTAGCAGTTTGTAATCACACGTCTTTGGCAAAAGAAAGTGATAATGTGTTGCTGATTTGTGTGTGTTGAAGTATCTGGTTTTTTGGGGGGAGAAGTGGGTTAAGAATACATTTAAATGCCACGTGATGTGTTTTAGATGATTTTTGAAATTGATTACAGTGAATCAGAGATGGCTACAGATACATTCTCTTGCAAAGCATCAGGTTGTAAAGTCCTGCCTTTTAAGGTCAAACGGAGCAAAGTGCTCCCAATATGGATCATTCTGTGTTTTCTTAAAGCGTTTCCCATAAGTTTTACTACTGCATAAGAATACCATTATGCATTAGATTATGCATGATGACAATTTATTTTGAGGTTAAGGATAGTATTTGTATATCATTTTTAATTTGTGATGTCAGTAGTTGTTAAATGTAACAATCTAGACAGACTAAGTAATTAACACTGTAATTGTATTTCTTTCTCTGTTCTCTGACAGGTACCATCAGCTCCTGGGTAGTCATATTTATTCTCCCCATCAACAGCGCACTTAACCCCATCCTTTACACACTAACAACACGGCCTTTCAAAGAGACTATTGTGCAGGTGTGGGCTAACTACAGGCAGAGGAGGCCCCTCCTTAGCAGACACCCAGCTCATCATCCATCGCTCACTTGGCAGGAAATGTGGCCCCTGCAGGAAAACAGCCATAGTGTCAGCGTGGGGCAGGAATTTGAAGCAAATGGCACAAAGCCCAAGCTCACGCCTGTGGAAAATACTAATGAGGGGTACAATGACATTAAAGCATCAACCAGAAAGCAGGAAACACAACATACTCGTATGTTCTAAGACTGAAACACCACCACATACACACATTCACACAGGCACACAAACAAATTAACTTATGTAACTGTCTAATGGTAGAGGTACATGTACATGTTTGTATTGTCAACAAAACCTCACCTCAGTAAACTCAATTTCATTTAAGTTCGTTCATCTCAGCAGTTCATATTTACCCTCAGTTTAGTCACTTGTTAGTGCCTACATTCTTTGCAGTTTAAAAGGATTAGTTCTGGTATTTTTTTTTTTTTTTGTCCTTTTCCCTCAAAATGTAACAGTGCATGTGTGCATGACCGGCAACGGTAACAGCCATCACAGCAGATAGGGGGACATACTTCATAAAAGAATTTCTTAAATTAAGAAAACATGCTCCCTTTGAATCCTGTTAAAGCCAGGCAAGTAAAATCTGGAGAACCGAATCTCTTATCAGTGACAAAAAGCTAATAATGATAATAACAATGGATTAATATGCAAACTGAATGATTCCCATCAATGACTTGACTGAAGCTCTATTCAATGGGTGAGACACATTGAATATTCCATAGGATTAAAAAGAGTATAAACATTTAGGACATTAATAGATAGGGCAATGAAGGGCCTCATAATTATGACCTAGTGGCAGAGGCTATACAACATGACACATTCAACCAATCTACAAGTACTTTCTCTAAACTGAATGCTTTCTAACTACATTCACACTCCGACAGATGCATTGGAGAGCAACTTGGGCAATTGATACTTGGCATGCAGACTGGAGGAGCCAGGGATTGAACCACCAACCTTCCGATCAATAGGCGACCTGCTCTACCCACTGAGCTACCGCCACCCATTTGAATTTGACTTTATTTTTATTATTTAATTAAATTAAATTATGTGACATATTCGTAACATCCCAAACAAGGGTATTTGAGAGAATCAGGAAATGCACAGGATGACATTAAGGAAAAGAATGGGCTTGGGATTTCAGCCGCTCAGGGCCATTGAGATCCAATTGTTTGACTAGGATGGCTTTTTTTTTTTAAATATGTAGGTGAGTATCTACTGAAACAGTGCGCATTTGACAGAAAAAAAACTTTACTTACTATTTTACTTTCCTCACAGTTGCTCAGCAGTGATTTTTATTGTCAGGAACTCCACAACAAAAGAGACTGTTAAGACAAAAAACAATATTGCACGACTATTAGAATACAAGGCTTGCTATATCTCTATGGCTACAACAGCTCTCTGCCATTCAAAAAAAAATATGCCCAGCTGGATATTATTAAAACTTTTATTAAAAACTATTTACAAACTTTAGCTTCCGGAAATCTGAAAAGAACAGAGAGATATTTTAACACATTGGTTCTCCTGATCGTGTCCTTGGAGTAATAAAAGCTTATAGCACTTTTCTTTCCCTAAAGCAATTTTTTTTTATTGGGGGGGTGAAAAGATAAGGAACTATACATACAGTATAGTACAGTATATGTCTGTCACATTATGTCCACACTGCTTGATGCTGCTACACTTAGAATTGCAGTTGGTCACATTTATTACATTGCTTACTATCTGCCTCGTTCAAGATTTATCTTGGTTAAGACCCATTGGCATGCCACACATTTCTAAAGTGTAGCTAGGTCGTCGTTATTATGTGTCTCGATACCTTTTCCCTTCAGGTCTAAGGTGCCAGTGACAACTAAGAAAGATACTGCATACTCCACAAGTTTTTTCAGAGTTGCATCCACCTTTGAGCCATCTCTTGTGATGAGGACCTGTTGGACTGCAAATAAATGAGATGAAAATAAACCTGCATCCTTGTTTTGCTCAGATGAAACAGGAGATGAGTATTCCAAGCATATTCACTGAGTGTTGCAGTCCTTTTGTTATTTTCTTGGCTCAAGTAGGCCACTCATGCAGCGATGAGTGGTTTGTGATGCAATGTGAATTTGATAGTCCCCATACGTGTGTGATATATTTAAAACTAGCTGGGTCCCCATGAGTCTGTCACACATTTCTTAGGTTTAGTCGGCTCCTCATTATTATGTGTCCCAGTGTCTTTTTCCCTGGGATGTGCCATCAAAATAAAGAGAAATCCCCAATTTCATTCTGTACATGCCCTCACTTATACCACAGTGATTGTGATTTTACACTTAGTCTCTGAGAGATTTGGTATTTGTTATTGTATGAACTGAAGAGTTGCCTATATTTTTATTCATTGGCTTTTGACACAGTTTGACCCTGGTTTTAGTGCTTTAATTCGATCTAAGGTGCTGATTTTATTGTTTTAATTTAATTTATTTTAATGTGCTTTTCGTTTTTCATGTTAGGTGTACGACACTTTGTTTTCAGCTGGGAGTTGTCTGAAAGTGCTATATAAATAAATTGCTTGCTTGCTTGAAGCAAACCTTTCAGGTTTGCATTAACAAGTTAAGCTTGTAACAGTCAGAAAGCTGGAAATGAGATTGATCAGCTCAAAATAAGATGAAATAGAGACAAAAACAACTCACTAAACTTCTACTTTCTGATATAAAGAAGCACGTATCTGTGCTGCAGTTATGCCATTTTAAATCTACAAGCAAACTAAAACCCTGGACTGCTTGGTTTTGTTTGGGGTTATTTGTATTTACATCATTACAGTTACATCATGGGTTGGAGGCTGCCAATGTTTCTTGGTCAAGACTCCAGTTTATTGGTACATCACTCAGAGTGAGAAATGGGTTATGTACAGACATTGATATGTTCAGAGGACAATACTGGTGTCCACCCTAAACGTAAATAAACAGAAAAGGTTTCACTGACATCACAAACTGAATTCACATGTTCCAAAATAACTGCCCCCAGTAAGTCCTGGACTTTTCAGGATGGCTGCCAGGATGGCACAACACTTGCTTCTAGAAGAAATATGCTGCTGATTAGGAATGGTAAAATGGTAAATGGCCTGTATTTATATAGCGCTTTACTAGTCCCTAAGGACCCCAAAGCGCTTTACATATCCAGTCATCCACCCATTCACGCACACATTCACACACTGGTGATGGCAAGCTACATTGTAGCCACAGCCACCCTGGGGCGCACTGACAGAGGCGAGGCTGCCGGACACTGGCGCCACCGGGCCCTCTGACCACCATCAGTAGGCAACGGGTGAAGTGTCTTGCCCAAGGACACAACAACCGAGACTGTCCAAGCCGGGGCTCGAACCGGCAACCTTCCGATTACAAGGCGAACTCCCAACTCTTGAGCCACGATCTTAGCTCACAGTGGCTCAAGATAAGCTACTTTTATTGGAGTACTTGTTCAGTTTGTTTAGTTTTTTATGCTTCCTTGTACCCCTGGAAACCTTGTGGAGCATAACTGTATGTTGTTAACTATGGATAATTCCTTTAAGGCAAAGCAGAGCCTTCATGCTAATCCCATTGTAGAAAACGTGGCTGCAATCCCACCAAGGCTGCATCTGGAAGTATTTACAAGATAGCTCACAATGAACAGGAACAAATGGAGCTACAGACCTAAAATAATTATTTGCACTTTCCTTCAGACAAAAACTGTATATTTATTTAAACAGAGGCCACTGCAGTGAATCATCTGCCTCCTATTACATTGTCCTCTGTCACACCAACCTCATCCTTCCTCATCCAGTACATCCATGAAACTCCTCTGTGGAGTGGACTTCCTCTTTTGTTCCTCCCTAGTTGCTTCATACTTCATACTGTTCAACATATTCACTATTTCTACTCTGCCTTGCCTCTCTATCTTGGTCTCCAAAACTCTTAGCTTGACCCGTCCCTTCAATGTACTCATTTCTAACCCTGTCCATCCAAAATTAAAGACTCTACATCTTTAACTCTGAAACTCTAGCTCAACCTCTTATTTTTTGTTAGTACATCACAGCAGTTCCACAGGGAGGCTATAAGGCTGTGTGCTCCTAGGGTTTCATCAGAAATAGCATCAAGTGTAAAATCTTTTCTAAATCAATTGTGCAGATTGAGAAATGTTCTACTGCTGCTTGTTTCATGTGTGAAATCAAAATGACACGTGCTGTAAAGTAGCTGAAGGTGTCTGTCCCTCTTAAAAAGGTATTTTACAACAATAAAAATTCAAAATCAAAAGCAATAATCTCTATTGTCTCTAGCACATTCTGTGTTAACTCTTATGACTATTTCTGGAAGACATGATTTGCCAGGGAGACAGCCTAAGAGTGAGGTGTGGGAGCACAATTCTGTGAAGCTGTGATGTGGACATTGGCACTGAGGCTGAGAATACTAATATTGTGATTCTCCAGCACTACTGCCAAATTGCCTTTTTTTTTCTTAATCAAACATTGCACATCATATTGTTAGCAAGTTAGCATGTTGACATGATGTATTTAAGAAAAAAAGCACCACTGTGCCTAAATAAAGCCTAACGTTAGGCGTTAACATTGCTGTGGTGTTGGCCTGTGAGCATGCATTTTCAAGTGTGCAACTTAAAACTTGCAATAGATCTGTGATTTGAACTAAAGATGATTGCTCGAGGGCGGTCCAAGTGCAGCAACAAATATTTTCTTTGCGTCTAGGAGCCATTATATATATCTCTAGATTGGCTGCTAATCATTTTCTTTCCTGTAGCTTGGGCAGACTGGCATGCTTAAAGCTCTTCTTAAAATAACGGCACAGCTCCCCTTACGCAGAATTTAAAACTAGCTAGAGATATCTGCGCAAGTTCCCTTTAGTGTTGCAAATTGTAATCAACTATTTTTGTTGACTGACAATAATGCATTCTGAAAATGTCAATTCCAGTCATTTCAAAGCATTCTATTCAATAAATAATACAATTTGCTATTGTTTATTCATTGCAGTCTACAAGAAGCTTTATTGTTTCATGGGTAGTGTATGAATGTTTGTGTGTTTAGTTATAGCTATTACATGTTTACTGTAGCCAGTGGTTTCCTGCAAAATTTACTGAGTATATTGTGGCAGCTGACTGTAATGCAAATGCTGTAATAACATTGTCATATAGTTTTATAAATACGTGTTTGATACATTTCTTACTGTAAAATTTGCCATTTTGTTGATAATAATGTACCACCCAAAACTTTGGTATCACGATGACCACAAGTTGCATTCATTCTTTTGTCAATTGCAAATGCCAGGTTCAGTGCTCTTTAGGGGAAATGTTCATGTTTCGTATTGTATTGTAATAAAAATGTCCTCCAGTTTTCAAGAGTGATACGTTATAGTTCATTTTGTGTTTTGCTGTTTGTTTGGGGGGTTTTGTTTTGTCCTTGTGTGTTTTCTCTGTCACATTAAATAATTTTGGGAAAATATTGAATGTAATATACTGTATTATATAGTTTCTTTGCAGTATGTTCAACAAAGAATGTATTTAATTTGTATATTTGTGAGCGGGATGCAGCCTCAAAGGGAGTAGTGGTAAGTCATCTTTTCTGTATCTTGTCTAGAAATTCCCCAGCTGGTCTGGGAGTTTGAACTTTGAACCGTCTCCACAAACCCTACATCATTTTTTTACACTGTGATCTATAAATATATTTGTACAGTGATGAATATGATACAATGAGTGATACAGTCATAAATTCTTCTGTGCATACTTTGTTCAGTGCAGTGTGGATTCTTATAAAACTGACTTATTTGTAGTAAATAAATAGTAAGCAAACCTATGACTGTATGATATAAACATAATACATCATAACAATTACTTGTGGATACATTGTATAGGCCAATTTCTATTTACATTGCACAATGACTGTGTCTTACAATAAAATTAGTTATGAAGTTGCCTTTGTGGTTTCATTTTTCTTAAATTAAGTCTAAAATTGGACCTAATTTAAGACTGGACTGGACTACTGTAATTCATTATTATCAAGATGTCCTAAAAACTCGCTGAGAAGCCTTCAGCTAATCCAAAATGCTGCAGCAAGAGTCTTGACAGGGACTAGAAAGAGGGAGCATATTTCTCCTGTTTTCGCTTCCCTTCATTGGCTTCCTGTTAAATCCAGAATTCAAAATTCTGCTCCTCACATACAAGGTCTTAAATAATCAGGCCCCATCTTATCTACCATAAGTACCATATCACCCTATTAGAGCACTTCACTCTCGC